TAACATAGTAGCAGACAGCAATTAACACCTGGAAGCTGCAGATCAACCAAGGGAAGAACTCAATAGAAGACAATGTAACAACCGGGAAATCTCTAAACATCACTGATCAAGGGCTAGAAGCCCTGGCCTGAGTTAATCAACGTCAGGGACCAACTTTTGGGCTGAATATCTCCAGATCGACCACTCCCAGAGCCCTATTCTAAATTCATCAACGGACTCCCAAACCTGCACATTCATGTGGACGACCCCTGGGGCTGACAGATGCCATCCAGCAGCCACCAAGTGGTGGGGGGAAGTCCCATGAGGGTCAATGACCCCTGGATTGGGCAAACCTGAAAACTGGGGAGTCACCAAAGTCTGCCAGGGACAGATAAAAGGCAGTGAAAAGTAACCCTCAGTGGCGCCCTCTTGATCTCCAACTCGACCAGACCTGTCCAGCCAGAAGGACCAGCCGGCGACCCCCTTCTGGAGGATAACACCACGCTGAAAGAAGCCTCGACTGGCCATTGATGGCAGACTCCAGCGCTTGTAGAATAGGTATACCTGACTCTGTAGCTTGCTACTGTGTGTGTGTGTGTGTGTGTGTGTGTGTGTGGACCAGCCCCAAGGTTTATGATTTAACTCATTACAGTGTTTCAATCCGCCTAATAAACTAGAATTTTAAGGATCCCGAGTTGGACATTTGTAGCGGACTCTCTTTGCTTTGCTTCTAAGATATGGTTTCAATTCCCAGTACTTACAATTCCTAGCACATACATATGTATAGCTATTCAAACCTGGTTGAGGCACTACCTTCAGTAAAAGCAGCACAAGAAAGAGGGCGTGGGGGGAAGTCCCCCTGACAGCGTCAGTAGTTATAAACTGTGATGTCGCAGGTATATTGCCGTAACGATGCACTCCCTCGTTATAGTGCATTGCTATGGCGATGCAGTGAGCAAAAAGAACAGTGCTGCCAGCATGGTGCAGTATGGACTGTTCCTGCACCATCATTAAGTACTTTCAAAAGAAAGAACTGTGACAGTGCAGTGTACTAAATGACAGTGCAGTACACCATAGGGGCACATGTAGATACACCCGGTATGCTTTACCTTGGTTTGACCCAGGAGCTTCATCTTTTTTCCCCATAAGAAATCCCATCAGACCCTGATTCTATTCTTTTAAGAAAACCAGCTAACAACAGGGGCTAAATTCATCCCTGGAGTAAGCATAGAACTGCCTCAACTTTGTAGAGATTAAGAATTTACACCAAAGATGAGGTTGGCCTATAGACGTATGTACTTATCATGAAGACATAAGTACATGCCTAACCAAAGATACTGGAAACCTAAACATATCAGTTAAGCATTTTAATCCTTAAAAATAGGCTGCCCCTTCCCAATTTCTTAGAACAAAAGAAGCTGCAACAAAAAGTGATGACAATGAGGAATATAACTGGAGGAAGAGATTAATAAATGAAATAGATGATCTTGTATAATGTTGTATGCCAGAAAAATGGTTTTCTGAAAAGCATGAAATGCTGAACAGAGAACCAGTGAGACTAGTCACGCAGATTCAATTAAGAGGGACATTCCAGCAGTCCATAAATAATTCCTTCTAGGAATCTGAAGATACTAACATTATTTGGTTCTTAAGCTATCTTCTTTGGTATCAGCTGAAGGATCTGGCACATACTGACCCATGAAAACTCTAGAGACAATTTGTAGGTCACAGCTAATTTATATTTTTCCATAATGCCATGTACAAATAACCTGTCTTTTTGTACACCCACTGATATATCCCTATTTCTATTGATGGAACACTGGCTCAATTTTAAATTTTAGGAACCATTATCAACTATACAGGCCTGTGGCCAACAACTCTATCAGGTGAATTTCTGAATAGCCCAGTCCTTAGAAAAGGCTATGGCATCAACTCTTAAGTAGGACTGTTGTGTACAGCATTGTGTGTCAACTATACTGCATATTTACATTTTCAAACTCATAGAACCATAGAAAATTAGGATTGGAAGGGTCCCCAGGAGGTCATCTAGTCTAACCCCCTTTTCAAAATAAGACCAGCCCAAATACATCATCCCAACCAAGGCTTTGTGTAGCCTGGTCTTAAAACCTCCAAGGATGGAGATTCCACCACCTCTCTGGGTAACCTGTTGCAGTGCTTTACCACTCTCCTCATGAGAAAGTTGTCCTAATATCTAAGTTAAACTTTCCTTGGTGAATCTTGAGATCACTGGTCCTTATTCTGTTATCTGCCACCACTGAAAACAGACTAGCTCCATTTCCTTTAAAACCCCCCTTCAGGTACTTGAAGATTGCTATTAAATCCCCCCTCAGTCTTCTCTTCTGCAGACTAAATAAACGCAGTTCCCTCAACCTCTCCTCAGAAGTCATGTGCCCCAGCCCCCTCATCATTTTCACTGCCCTCCATTGGGCTCTCTCCAATTTCTGAACATCCTTTCTGTAGTGTGGGGCCCAAAACTGAACACAGTACTCCAGATGTGGCCTCACCAGTATGGAATAGAGGGGAATAATTACTTCTTTCAATCTGCTGGCAACACTCCTACTAATGCAGCTCAGTATGCTGTTAAGCCATCTGTGTAACAAGGGCACACTGTTGGCTCATATTCAGCTCATTGTCCATTGTAACCCTCAGGTCCTTTTCTGCAGAGATGCAGCCTGTACCGGTACAAGGCATTGCTCCATCCTAAGTGCAGGACTTTGCACTTGTCCTTATTGAACCTCATGGGATTTACTTTGGACTAATCCTCCAATTTGTCTAGGTCTCTCTGAATCTTAGCCCTACTCTCTAGTGTATCAACTACTTCCCCCAGCTTGGTGTCATCTGCAAACTTGCTGAGGTTGCACTCCAACCCATCTTCTAGGCTGTTGATGAAGATACTAAACAAAACTGACTCCAGGACCAACCCCTGGGGCACTCCACTTGATACTGCCAGCTAGACATCAAGCCATTGTACCCTTTGAGCCTCGTGATCCAGCCGCTTCTCTAACCAGAAAATGATGTGCAAGTTAAAAAAAAATTATAATAGTACCCCTGATTTTTTCTGGCTCTCCTCGGAGCTCTTTTCCAAATAGTCCTTGTCAACAGACAGGAGGACAATCCATGTACTCCACAAAGATAACTATATTTTAGTCTCCCTCTCTCTCCAGAATAATGCAGTTATATTATGGATTGCGTAATTCAAAATAATTGTTGTTTGAACTACAGAAAATGAATACATGCTTAAACAGAACTTAGAGCCAAGGGCAAGAAAGTCTGGTTTGGCTGAAATGTTTATCTTATGACGCACTGAAGATAGTGGGTATAGTAAAAAATGGTTATGACAGCATTTGTTATACTTTTTTTTATGTAACATATATTTTAAAAGTGCTTGTGTTCTTAACTGTTTTTTTGATCCTGCT